GATGAAATAAAACTAAATCATTGAATTTGAGATATAAAATTAATGGTTATAAAAATAGGAAGAAGAGATGGAAAAATAATATTATATCCAAATAAGATAGAAAATACTAAAAATAATATAGAAGAAAGATTAACTACTCTTGAAAATATATTTAGAGATTTTATTAAATCTAATCCACAATTATTTCATTCGTAATAGAATCAAATATAATTTTTTCATATTTTTCGAGTTTATTATAAACTGATTGAAACTCTTCAAATGAGATATCTGTAGTAATTTGATTATAAATATGATGAAGAATTTGTGGAGAAAATGAATTAAATATCCATACTGAAGATAGTATTGATTTTATTTGTGCTGGTATACCTCTCCATATTTGAATAGCTATAAAGAATAAACAATTGGTGTGCCTAGTTTTATATAATGATTTAGATAATATTGATGATTCATTTTTTAAACAATTAACAGCATCATCTAAAACTATAATTGTTTCTAATGGTTTATCACTAAATTTATCTAAATATAAACACTCTAATATAGATTCATCTTTAGGTATTTCGTTTCTAATCATTTTATTATAAGTTTCTTTAATTTCAAGATATTTAGGATAAGCTTTTTCAAATTGATCATATGTAAACTTAATAATTGGAATATTAAGTAAACCCTCATAATGTAATAAAGTTTGATCACTTCCTGTATTATTAACCCAAATAATAAGATGAAAACTATTAGAAACTTTATCTATTTTAATAAGTTCTTTACAAATAGACGTTGTTTTAGAACATCCAGGTTTACCTATTAATAGGTTTATAGATCTATGTTTTACAAAAACTTCTGGATGAATAATATTCATAGTTGTTTCATCTTGATTAGGAGCATGTTTTTGTATCATATAATTAGCATAATTGTTAAGACTCATTTAATATAATATTTATTCAGAATTAGTTGTTAATGTTTTTAGTAATTTAGCAATACAGTTATAAGATGCTTCGACATCTAATTTTAATAATTCTTCTCTTACGAATGAATTACGTTTATTAATAGGAAGATTGAATATATCTTCTTTACGTTCTTTAATAAATTTGTGTATTATTTGTTTTCCTTCTTTCGAAGTCACTTTTAAATGTTTCTTTTCTGATACTACAACAGTATCT